ACAGCCAATCAGAATGCCGTGTTTGTGGGCGAATGCAGAAAGTACAAAATACCGGGCCTTGCTTGCAGGCCCACTATCAGTTCCCTTGGGCCTGCACACAGGCTAATAACTTTCTTGCCTTCTTTGCATTCTTAGCTTCCTTTATTTGATAGTCTTCTTGCACACTCTTGCCAAATATTTGATGGATAACTGTCACATATCTGCAACATATAGGAATTTGGCCCAAAGTTCAATAACATATGTCACAGTTTATGTGAAAGTATAGTTAGTTTCCCTACAGATACAATTATCTGTACATTTATTACCAAGCAGATATTTCACATAACTACCACCAAGTGAATAACACCAGTTGATTACTTCTGCAACATCAAGTTGCTATAACTTTACCTCTGTCATGTTCACTTGAACCCATAATAATTTAATACAAAGAAAAAGAAATAATATCAGAATATTAAATGTATTTATTAATAAATATATAACTATAGGACACACATATAGATAAATTTAAGACTGTACACTCAATTTTACACCAGAATAATTAGACAATGACCTACACTTATTTAAAATTAACAAATAGTCGGTGAAGGCAAGGTGATTACAATTTACAAGCCTATATTCACTGAGCCGCAAGCAAAGTGAATATAGGCTTGTAATCACCGAGTGTGATTAATAGACAATTCCCATTATAGATTAATTTTAAACCTGGGGAAGGAGATGTAAATAAATCACCACACCTAGAAAGAGCATACTAAAATTAGTAAAATTACAAAGTTTGGTTGCAAAATGTTGTAAAATGCGGAAAACAACCCTCTGTATTTGTTTGTAAATGTACTTTATCAAGGTAATTGTGTATTCAAAATGTCATTATGTGATGGAAATGTGGAAATTCCTACCACATTTGGACCGGAAATGGTAGCAATTTCCACATGCAATATAAAAGTATACAAAATTTGCAAATTTTGCAAGGCTATATTTTGCACATTTTACAATATTTCGCAACCAAACTTTGCAATCCCACTAAATCTCTCAATGTTTGCAACGGTCCAATATCTGTTTCTATTGTTGCTTGTGCTTCCTGACCACTGATCTAATAGTAGACTGGATATAGCTTCTCTAGGTGTGAAAAGTGAAGCCAAATTATATATGCGAAAATCACTTCCGGGGACCACGGAGTGATACAAATTACTATAGAAATGTATGGCGAACAACGTGAACCAAGGTGAATTTTCCCGAATTTGAGATACTTTGCGAAGTTTTACCAAGCTGATCGCTCCACCGTGGGTAAAAGATGTTATGTTAATGCTTTTAAAACGAAAATTATCCAGATTGCCCTAAAATATCGTCAGTTTTGTTCGTTCAAAGTTGTCCATGCGGGAATAATATTTTATCGCCACAGTGGTATGACAGCACAATTTCTAGTTTGCTTTCCAATTACGGAGACAGAATATGATCAAGCAAACTTTTAAAGGGAAGTAAGTGGTTCATTTATCATTTATGTTTAACCTTGATTGACCAGAAGGTTTCAAACTTTCAATTATCCATCTTAAAATAAGCCTTTTTACAAAATATATATACAGTAGTCAGTAGATCAATTATTCAATTATGAAATAGTTCTAAAGATATGTAATAAATATATTTGTACTTTTAGTACTTGTTTTTATTTGTTATTCTGTTAAACTGGAAGACAATCTTATTGAAGCTTTCTGTAGTAAGAGTGAATCTACTTTTACATTGCAGTTGAATATTGAACTTTCAGTTGCAGAGTGTAATTTATTGTTCTTATAGTGCAGAGGCTGAGAGGCAGAGTGTATTGTTCATTAATTTTGATCATTCATTTATATATAAACGTTTGCTATTGTAAAATATCCATTGGTGCTTTTCCTCCAAACTCCCAGCATATATATGGTGTCCCAAAAAATGTCCCCTCTTTTGTTGGTTAATTACTATAAGTAAAGCCTGGTTTCCATATGTTCATAACAGTCATAAAAATAGAGTCACAATTTTCTCAACAGTCAGTATATAGTAGTTTATACATGTAAACCACATAAATCATAAGTACTCACTAGTTCTAATCACTCAGCATATTTTCAGTTCTAAAATGTTGCATTTCAGCTGATGAGAAAGATTGACTCAATCTTTTCGACCATATGGAAACCAGGCTTTAGGGAGCATTCATTTTTTAGCTGGGGGGGGCCGGAGGAACTGATGTCTAATTCCATGCGAAAACTTGGAACCCCCAAGACAAAAGTTGATAAAAAATTATGACCCCCTATATTTTACTGAAAATTTTTTGACCCCTCATCCTAACTATTAATCCACACGGTGTCATTTCCATAGCGTTTCAGGGCCGTAGGAAGCTCTTTTTGATTGGGGGGCTGAAAGCGAGGGCCTTCGAGGAAATTTTTAAATCTAGAGTCTCTGAAATGCCATTTCCTGGCCTTTGGGGGAAGATTTGACAGAATTCTGATGGTCAGAAAACAGCATTTTAGTATGTCGAAATTGACAATTTGGTAGTACTAAATGGGCGAAGGCATATTTAATTTACTATATATTGGATAACTAGGATAAGTTGCAGGAAACTGTGGGTACTATCTTCATTCTTTGCAGTTTGTCATGGATAATGTAGCCGCTTAAAATTAATAAAGCTTAAAATTGATCAAGGTCTGCATGATTTTGAAGTCATGCTTGAAATCATGCTACGGTCCTGCATTTTCTTTCATTCATGTTTTCACACAAAAACGGATAAAAGCGAAGTCAATTGATGAACATCATGGAAATGTTTTCCTATGGACTGTGTGAACAGAGCGTCAAATGAATTTTGCTTCATTGTTATAGATGACGAGATAGTTGATAGATTCTGGACCTTTTTACCATTCTTGATCCAAATATTTCCAAATTCAATAAAATCATATTGGTGATTTTTTCACTGATTATTTTTATGACCCCCTCCATTTATAACAAAACTATAAAAAGACCCACCCCTTTGAAGCATGTCAAAATTGGCTGACCCACCCCCAAATTCCTCCAGCCCACCCCCCCCCCAGCTAAAAAATGAATGCTCCCTTATAGTACTTAACCAACAACAGAGGGGACATTTATTGGAACACCCTATACATGTGCCTGTGGGTTTATACACACCCCAAGCCCAGGGTATTCAAAAAAGAAACGCTGGTTGCAGTTCAAATCAAGCCTAATGATAAAATATTTTTCTTCCTGGCAGCAGACTTCCAGACCAAAAATCTCCTGCCAATTTTTTTTATAAATTTGAATTTTGGTTGTAATTCAATAACAGTGTCATGTATTTAATAATTATTCACTGAAGGTGAGGTGATTAGTTGGGGAATATTCACTGAGACAAAGATTTGACCAATCAACATGTAGGATTTGTTATATTCCCTTGTGCAAAAATACTAAACTACCTAACTAATTAGTCATATACTACCTCAATATTAAGAAAAATATAGGTTTACTAGAATTAGGAACATGAAGTAATTCTATGAAACAATATTTGAATTTTGTTTTCAGATTGTAAATCTGAATTTATATCAGTATTCATGCACTATTCAATAATAATAATAGTACGCCCTTGTTTTCCACATGTATCATAATCATGAATCATGATAACAGACAGTCGTATATAGCACTGCCACATGATACAAATTTTTTATTTTATGATTGTTGTATTTATGCTCTATGCAACCTTGTACCCAGGATGACTTTAATGCTGATTTCAACCTCGTACCCAGGGCTTCTGCGCTTATTGTTCTCAGAGAGAAATTTCTCGAGCTTCATTCTTGATATCTTGCTTTTCCTTAAAAAATTCCTGTGAGATTAAAAAAAATTTCCTGGCAGCATGCTGCCGGACTTTCTCATGCCTTGGTTCAAATGTTGTGTTTTGTCACCTGAGGTTTCTTGACATTGTCGAAACAGCACAACTGGTCATGGAAACCATGCTTTTGAAGTATAGGCAATTAGAAACTTAAATTAGAATCACACTGCCTATAGTTGCCTGACTTTTTACTTTGGTATCAATGAGTTGAGGTTTAATTAAGCAGATTATTATTTCAAATTAACTTTGAATATATTTTATATTTGTTCTTATATTTATACTCAATTAGATATTGAATGATAAATACACCCCACATTTTAAATCAATTTTGTTGTTCTAATTCAAAATTCAACTTCACTACTTACATACTTTCAGTAAAACTACCACATACTGTATCTACATGCAGAAAACTACATCTGCAGGGTGTGATGTCATTACACAATATCGAGAATGATCTGTAGGCCAATCAAAAGCAATATTGTATATTATGTAATGTGTAATAATAAACATAGGTGGATTTCCCCCCCCCCACACACACACACACACCAGAAAATCTGCCCATGATAATAAACAATTATTGAATGTGGTTGAACATGATATGAAGGATTAGCCTTTTCCCAATAGAGCAGAGTACTGGGTCTAGTTGTACACCGCAAAGCATCTCTGAGGGATTGTTTGGAGGGACAAACGACCAGACTTGTACTCCATAATCACAAAATAATCCATAGGTGATACCCAAATAATCCATAGGTGCTTTGCGGTTCATGACTAGACCCAATACTCTGCTGTATTGGGAAAATGCTAATTATCAAGCCGATGTTTTGTGTTAATAATAATTAAGATACAATTATTGGACAAGATTGGCCAATTAAAAGTAGACCAGGATTTGTCAGACCAATTATTTACATATGACGTTGTTAAAGACAAATTGTAATATTTTGGGATAACCATGTTTACTAATAATATTTGTTTTATTATAATTCACTATTCAGTCATATTGCGGAAGTTCAAACTGACATGGATTTTATGCAATTTTTGTGGCATAATTCTGAATATCCTCCTTGAGCAGCCAATCATTAGCACTACCGGTATGTAACAATTTTATTTTCTGCATTTAAATTGTAGATCAATATGCATACAAGATCAGTTTTCAGCATTTTTGCCGCAGTTGATGCAACTGGAAGAAGGGTTGTCTGTTTGTAATGTGTTGCAGTCAATCCAGAAATTCCCAAGTGTTTGGAAAGTGTTATTCCAACCAAGCCAGGAATTTCAGATGAATAGTGAGAAGTTCCTAGATGAAGCTGCTGTGGAATACATCACTTCACAGGTGCTACAGGAGAAAGAGATTACAACGTACAAGTTCTTTTCCGATATGGTACTACTTTTAGATGATGGTGAGTGTTACGGGTTTCGTGTTGTTTTTTTCTTGCTGCATTGCTTGACTGCAATTGTCTCAGTATAATTCTATTTTACCTCTTCACAATGTAATCATAAAGTCTCATATCATAATCAAATCATAAATATCATAAATCAAATCCTAGATCTACATTCTCATCTAATAATTTTTAATTATTCAGATTAAGGTGAAGTTTATTTGCCAAAGCGAAGTTGTGGTGGATAAACATTGACTGAATTATTCTTGAATTTGATTTCATTTGAACTTGGCCTCATCACACTCATGATTCATTCCGGATATGTTCTCATAAAATCATTGCGATAAAATTATACCCCTACCTTACCCTTACCCTACCCTACCTTACCCTACTTCACCCCACCCTACCCAACCAACATCTTACCATATTTTCAAGATTTTTCAGGGTATCTAGTGGTTTACTGTATTCAATATATATTTTTATTGTATTCAATATGATTTATTGTGTTTGATCGGTTTGCAGCACGATCTTGATTTCGGCTTTGCATCAGTTTGGCAAATCATACACGCACACAACACTCCCTGAGTATTAAAACAATTCAAACATGTCACACAATGGCTCCAAAATGGGCAGTGAGCACCCACAGCGTATCAGGATCCAAATACCGCACCCACTTTTTCGGTCCAATTACTACCAAATTACAAACAACAAATGTATTAATGTAATAGAAAAGCGTTTTGATGAACTTGAGAAAAAGCTAAATAGAGTAAATACACCTTTTTAAGAGTGGTTCTAAACAAGTTGATTTAATTAGGCACTGACGTCATTGAACATTGCTACATAGTTGGCTTGATGCCACCATGATACCATCTCTCAATCTGATTAGCGCTGATTAAACTTTGATTTAATTTTTCAAGGAATTGATGGTATTTATTTGAAAGATTTCATCAAATGGATGACAGGATCTAAAACTATACCTCCTCAGTGTAATTTGTCCATGGTTGTGCTGAAGCATGCTGCTGTCGACCCACTGTTTCAACATGTGATATAACCTTAAAAATACCAGTTCACCTGACAACAGAAGACATGTGTGAAATATTCATATCAGCAATCAAAGATTTGTGCTGGCTTTGGAAACATTTAATCAATATTGAACTCTGCTGCAAGAGATTTCAATGAGAACATACTTTTTAACTATTGGTTTTGTTGCTCGAACTTTGCTTGGTATTGATTTGTGCCTATGGCAACACTTTTCAACAAAAGCATCATATTTAGTTCAGTGTTAAAGAGGCTCCCTACAGTTCCGTGCGGGATGTTCGCGGGACAAGTATGTGAACTATCCACACAACTGCATGATCAAAACAAAACAAAAATTGACCATGCTTTTTTTAAAAATAAAGCTATTTCTGAAAGGTTTCTAATGGAAAAAAGAGTTGAATAATACTTCATTTTGAGTGCCAAATCACTTGCGAGTCTATACAGCAATTCTACATATGATACGAATATAACTAGACCAAAAAATAGCTACGATCTATAAACAGTGTGCATAAAAAAATTAAACATTTGCATTTATCAAAAAGAATATGTGATTGTGAGTGGGTTTCATTTATTTAGATACACACTGTAGATCTAACATGTTCTATGATAGTAGACATCTTATGTCAAGTATTTGTGTTCAAATGATAAAACATTTACCATTTTAAACAATAACAGTCTTCATAGTGAATATTTTGTACCCCCTCCTGAACACGAGTTATAAAAATCCAGACATCCTGTTCACATTGCATTCTATGTTTCCTTGCAATGAGTCATTACAGAAAACATCTGACTCCCATATCTCTTTTGGATATTCTAATTAATTAAAAATATTTTAGTTTTAGCAACCTTCCTTTTTGTACACAGTTGATAGGGAGGGCATATGGTAAAATTTAGAGATTTCCCAACATACATTATTAAAGCGATGTCATTTCAATAACCTTTATTATAATGACATCAAACACAGGAAAAATGCTTATGAAAGGTGCTACATGAAATTTTGATCAACTCTTGCAAAAATTATTTTTTCATGTTTGACATTATAAGAAAGGACTATTGTACAATAAGGGATTTTTGAAATATTTTTTGCATAACATACTTACTGTAATATCTCTATTTATCCCCCCCCCCCAGAGGCGTAGCCAGGATTTTCTGTCAAGGGGGGGGGGGCAAAAACGAAGCAGGGGGGAGCTTAACAAAAGTATACAAAAGTTAGATGTACCAGGGGGCCAACATTTTCTCAGGGGACGACGGGGCCCTTTGGCCCCGGGCATGGCTATGCTACTGCCCCCCCGCCTTATTCTGTCTCTCTCTCTAGTAAGCCCTCCAGGGCACTTTAAACAGAGATTACAGTCATTGAGTGGCAGTACTCTATGACTGACAAGTAAAATCGTCTGGCCTTTGACAGGGTAAATACATCTGGCATTAGACCGAGTTAATTTTCAATTAGAGCACATTGCCAGTTAATGAGTTAAACCATTAGTAGGCAATTTGCCCAATATATTTTGTGAGGTGTGTGCCAGGGTGGGTATAGCAAGGTAAATAGATAAGAGTAGGTTATCCAACTATCTGAAAATTAAGAAAATAGTTTCTTAAAAGGGAAATGGCAATATATTTTTTATTTTCTCGTTTGAAAGAACATTTAAAACCATATATAAAACTCTTTTACCGTTTTTTCATATCTTGCTTACTTCTACAAATATTTTAATCGAAAGAAATGAAATGTCCGCCATCTTGAATTTTTGTGGATATGCATGTTACGTCACAACAGGGGTCACGCAATATTTTTATCTAGACAACCACTAATCATTTTGCACCCAAAATTATACTCTGTATGCTCTTGGAAATATCAAGATCACTTGAAACGTTTAAAACATCTACCAGTCAATATTTGGTCAGTAACGAATACTTTTATATGGTTAATCCCTGTTGTGACGTCACCAAAACTACCGTTAATGAGATCAAAATTTTATCCAAGATGGCTGACATCTCATTACTTCAAGTGAAAATATTTCAAGAACTAAGCAAGATATGAAGAATCGGTAAAAGAAGTTATTAAATAGTTTCAAAAGTTCTTTCAAATGAGAAAATAAAAAAATATATTGCCATTTCCCTTTAAGCTGAAATTGAAAACTCGAAACTGAAGCAGCAGTACGCAGATCTGAGCTCAGTGAGTTAAAAAAAATGAGAACTCTACCAGATCTTACGAGAGTCTATCTGTATCAAAGCTTTATCAAAACTTCTATAAACACTGCTATATCATAGATTAAGGAATGCTATATTAAACGGTTAAACTATTGACATCTAAAGTGACATTATTGAATACCGTATTTACTCGATTGAGCGCCGCCCCCTAATGAGCGCCGCATTTGAGATCAATTTTTTTTAAAGAGCGCCGCCCCCGAATGAGCGCCGCACTAAAAACTGTAAAAACTTTCCGCGTCAAAATTGGGGACATTTAGTACATTTTTTAAAGTAAAACTTGTTTATTTTATTGTTAAAAGTTCTTTTTATAATTCACAAATAAAAGATTTTTTAAAGAGCGCCGCCCCCGATTGAGCGCCGCATCTGAAGCTTTGAAAATTTAAAGAGCGCCGCGGCGCTCAATCGAGTAAATACGGTACTTGCGAAAAGCTGAAAATGACTCGTGAAAAATTCTCATGAAAAACAACTTGAACTGATCTTGGGAATATAAAGTCAAAAGACAAAGGTCAATGAGACTTGTTTATATTGTGGTGTAGTATAGTTAAATGTGAAACGAATGCGGAGCGGATGCGGAACCGATATGGGGATAAAATGCGGAATGGATATGGGGATAAAATGCGATTTTTTTCGCCTCATTTTTACGTTTCAGTGTTTTTTATTTATGTTTTGTTGTAATGGTGCAACGTCGTATTAACTAATTATACAGCTATTTCATTTAAAGAGTATCACTGAGACAATGGTCAAATGTGCAATATGGGTGCTGAAAGGATGATGGGAATAATCATAGTTTTAAATAAGTTTAGTATATTAGTAGCCTCGTGGATATATTTTCAGCAACAGCTCCCAATGTAGTTTTAGAATATAAAAAAAATTGGTTGTTGTTGAAACAATTTAAATTTCGAGTTGTCGCGTGTAGCATCACAATAAATAAATAAATTGTATAATGTATCAGTTCCACAAGGCACGACGTTTCTGATGTGTTTCTGTCTTGTTTCAAACGTCGCGCTACTCGTGTACCAAACGCACTAAAAACCGAATAGATATGAGATGAAATGCCTATGGTAACTGCTTATTTCGTAGTGTATTTCAGCTTTACAAAACAGAAAGTCCTCATGCACAAATAAGAGCTCTTGCAATTCAACATTTTTAATAATCGAGTTACGAAGGGAGTGACAAGGAATTGTTTATCTCGTAAAAACGTTCTAATCCACATTTATTAGTAACGTGCCTGCTCTAGCCTATGCCTGCTCTTACTGTTCTAGGTTTTCGGCGACCCTATACAGTTCTTACCGTGTTTTTTCAATTTGAAACTTTACACTATCCTTGGATCCCTAGCTTTCAAATGTATAAACGTTTCAGGGCGTAAATATTGAGAAAATCTTTGAGATTTACGCAATAATTAAATTGATGTTATGCATTACAGGCGTTCAATTATGAATATACCGCCTAAGTAATGTCAGCACTTTATACAGGGACTGTATAAGGTGCTACACCACATAATATAGATGGCTGCACTTAAACACTCAGTACACTGAAACCAAAGAAGCCTGTAACACTCTGTGCATAAGTGCATTGCTGAAGGCACCCATACAGCACTGCGCGTTTGGCTCTCTAAATATAGAAATGATTATAGGATGCAGAAGGACATGTTGGAAATGATGGAGTGTGGAGTATGGAATGCGGAGTACGGAGTCTGTTAAAACATAGTTTATTTTCCTATTTCGATTTTAATTTTCCTATACGATTTGAATGAGACTCGGCGTTTCCCACGCGGAGTCTGTCAAAAATTTGTTTATTTTGTCCAAAGATTCTATTTTAATAAGACACTGTGTTTTCCACTTTATGCCCCCATACACTTGCAGTGTCTTAAACTGTCTGCTCCACAAAGAATATACACAAGTTATGCAGAATTTCTCTCCTTCTCCATGCCGAGAAGAAATACGAGAGGACTTTGCTCGCAGGATAGGCGTCATGTTGTGGAGATACGAATATGAAGGAAACACGAGCAAAACAATATGGCACCGCCTTCGGTGGTGTTTACAAGTTTTAAGGAAACGACATGTAAAATTTAATCAAGAAATATCAACGTAAACAGCAACGAAAGGTTTTGAAACATTTTAACGTACTCGTGAAAGAAAAAGGAAAGATTTGGGAAAAAGAACTGGTCATTAATGAAATCACCGGCTTTGTTTACAAACAATTACTTTCGGTTTTTCCACCATCATAACGAACTTGGTAACAAAGTTTAAAATATTTGGGAGAAAGTTTGTTTGTTTTGTTTGTTTGTTTGTTTGTTTGTTTGTTTGTTTTTGGATAGAGAGCAAATATTTTGGTTAGAATTTTGAGAAATAGCCGGCGATTGTCTACACGCGCAAAAACGCACAGCTTGTAACAAGTCTGTAAACAAGTTGTTACAAGTTTGTTCACAAGTTGTCTTCGCACTGCTTGTCCCAGTTTGTTGTACTAAAAAATTTGACTGTGAACAACTTGTAACGAGCTTGATGGCATTATCAGTCTTGTTACAAGACTGTGCTAACAAGTTTGTTACAGCTATGATATAACAAGGTTGTAACAACACAAGGTTGTAACAATCTTGTTATATCAAGCATGTAACTGACTTGTCAGAACAACCTTGCAACAAAGTCTGATAATTTCGACAAGGTTGTTACAAGTTGTCACCAAGTTGTTCCAAACCTGTTGACAACTTGTGACAAGCAGTGCTAATAAGGGAATAACATGAGTTTTGGAGGGCATATTGTTTATTTTTGGCCCGCGTAGTAAAATTGTTATTGACATTATTATCAATATAGAGGAACAAATAAGTATAAATATATAACATAACATAACACCAACACAATATACAATGTAGACAATGAATGCTTTTAACAGTAAAGAAAAACAGTTAACAATGCATTAAAATATAAAAAATATAAACTGCTTTTGTTGTGTTTTTTGCTTGAGCCTTTTTCTCAATCTTGTCAAGGGCTTCCTTATCAAGGTCAGAGAATTTTTAGATAGCATTTTACAACAATAAACTCCTAGTGTATGATATACTAGGTCTAATATAAACTCTAAAGTCAAATGATGTTTTACTGTTCTTTTTCAGCTCATTAAGCGGCGAAAATGTCGGTGTTGTGGGTAGTGTAGCATTGTTCACACTGAATGCGAGAGTTGAGAAACTGACCGATGAAAAGAAGCAGCTTCAAAATAAGTCTGATGCGTTGCAGAAGGAAATTGATAAACTTTCTATCATCAACTTGGATCTGAAGTAAGTGCAAAGTATACAAGCTAATCCGCATTTTCTCTTTATAAAATATTTAAATAGAGTCAGCGTGCCCCCAGACTATGCAACTTTCTTTTTTCGTTCCCCTGTTGTCCCAAACTGACCTAGATTCAGCTCCATCATTTTTTTTTAAATAATAATATTAGTTTTATTTGGTTTGTCACATACTATCATGTCATTAAAGTGGAACTCAAGTCCGTAATGTATACAAACGGTTTGTTTAAATTTTATATTGCTGTATTTTTTAAATATGATGTACTGTCTGAATATCTAACACCATTTTGGTTCGCTATGCTTCTAAATGAATATGAAATAGAGTTTATGTTCAGAAAAATTCGAAACATTCGAAATTTAGGCAATTTTCACATTAGAGGTTCTCACACACAAACTTCCACTCGGGCTTTTAGTCAGAAGGGCGTCCTGGGACGCCCCTAGAACAAAAAATGGATGCCTTTGGACGCCCAAATTCTGGGGAAAAAGGAAATTATTTTCAGTTATTTCCCTAAGTATATTAATAGATCTCAAATGAAATAGCTTCTATTCTCATTATTATTATACATTTGATATTATTATACAAAGCCAAGTGTGTTTGAAAAATTTCGAACGAGCTTGGAACAGATACTGATAAGAAGTAACGCAAACTTCAAAGGTTTTCCAGAGAAACGTTTTCCTTACTGTAGTTGTATCGTTGTACCAAAATTTGACGCCCTCTTTTAGGATCCTGGCTAAAAGCCTGCTTCCACTTTGATTATGCACATTGTATATTAATAATTATGCATGAATTTGTCGCAAGGAAGCTTTAGAAAACTGAAGTCTGGGGCTTATAACGTTTATGCTCCCTTATATCGCGCTATATGTTGAGCTCATAAATAACACGTAAAATCATTGAATTCTGTCTGGTCAGTTCCTTCATATTTAAAGGATTAGTGTCATGGTATCGTGGGCTTTTGTTGTTGTTTTTATCTTAACCAAAATCAACAAATTACGATAAAAATACTACTTTGGTACATTTCCATTAAGGCATGTTTTATATGTCGAATTACGATCGCATCGAATACAATTTCAACAATAGATAATGAGCGTCATGAACTTTATCATTTCACTATCTATGGAGTATGGTCTTAATTGCATTCGATGCGACCAAAATTCGACGTATAAAACAGGCCTTAGAGTCAGATAAAACATAGCCTATCGAAGGGAAGATGGCTGTGAAACTCATTAGAATAACAATATAACTCATCTATGTTTATTCATAAATACATGTTTCACTGTCAACATGCGTATTGTATTAATGTCAAATCCACCAATAGCAATTTCCAATTTACTCTTTTGTTCCAGTCGCGGATAAGTAATTTTCCTAAAACATTGCTGTTGGTTGGTTGCAGGGCAAAATACAATAAGCACGTGACGGTGAATAACCATTATTCTAATGCATGAGTTGCATTGCCATCTTCCCTTTGATAAAGCTATATGGATACAAGAAGAAAGGATGGTTTACATATACGAGGGATTAAAAAGAAAAAAATCCAAATCTATTGACGTACTTGTCCGGAATTTCAGCCCGCAATACCATGGTGCAGCATTAATCCTTGCATGAGCAGCAGGGAAATTTTTCTGAGCATGCGCCAGATTAACCAAAATTTCCATTGAAACTTGAAGACTTATTGTAATAGCGAAACGCTCGCGGTTGTTGTATATTTTTGAATTCTAAACTTTGTACTTTTTTGCTTGAGACAATGTAAAATGTATTCTACGATTCCAGCGTATAGAATATCTCGTTTGAACAGCAATAGAATTGATTATAATCTTTCCACAAACAAGAAGACAGTGTAAGTGACACGTTAAATCTGCAGTCATGCCCGAGGTAAAGCCAATCGTTGCGAGCTTGACAGCCTTGACAAATGCAAAACAAGTACAAATTTGGGTTCAAACAAAAAGAAGTTCAATGTTAATACGACTAACATATATTCTATTCAAATACGTGTGGTTTAAAATGTATTTCAATTGAATTTTTAAAGCTTTTATCTGTCGATATGATAATCAAACTGTGCCGAAAATGCCTGCTTTTGTTGACCGTTGCTTAGTCTTCAGATGCACTTGTATGTTCGCTTTTACTAGTTAAACAAGGAAAATATCCAAGAAACACTGGTATCGTTGTCAAAAACATTTCAGTGGCTACTAGTAGCAAGGTCTCAAGGCAAGGTCTCGATTTCATTACATTGTCACAGTACTTCGAATGTTTTCGAACTCTTGCTTCATACAAGAGCAGTAAATGCAAGCATTTCAAAGCGAAATAAGATGCATAGGCAGAATTTTTCAGCAAAATTTATTGTGAAATTCTGTTTCCTATGTGCCTTGGGAGCAAAAAAAATATGATTTTGAATTTGGAGCAATAGGCTAATTTTTTTGCAGTTTGGCCTGGTACTGCACCCTACCTATGTACTGACTGTGCTGCAAAAGTAATCAAATATACTAGTTTTAATTTTCCTTCGTTGAAAGGATCTAATATTGTGCACTAAACTAAATCTTAATCAGCATATAAGGCTGCAAACAACAGCCAAGTATTAGCTGGATAGTTTGCAAACTTTAAAAATAATTGGACCTCAAACTTTGACCTCCAAAAGTAAACAAATAGCCAATACTGCAAACATAATCCAAGTTTTGATCACTAGGCGGAATTTTTAAATGTAAAAAAGTGTTTAAATTACACTATAATGGACCAGTCATAAAGTATTTACTATGGGGTGTGGAGGAAATTTTTTTCTGGGGGGGGGTATGAAAAAAACCCCAGAACCTCTGAGGGGGGTACGAAAAAAACAACAGAACCTGTAGGCAGTACCAAAATCTTAGTACTATAGGTAGGAAAAAAATTACATTTTACAATTGTTGTTTGTGCCAGATTTATTAAGTTCGGAAAGATCGTTCTCCTATAATTATTATTAAATCAACAGAAAGTATATATGTTTCAGTCTGACTCAATGTCAGATGATAAGTAGGATTCAATATCCGTGGAACTTTTGGAGTAAAAATCTGGTACATCTGAATTGTCAATGACAATGCCAGCAAGCTCACACCATTAGAACCTGTTAATGATTTAAGGAGGGGTATGAAAATTTTCACTTACATTGAATGGGGTTACGAAAATTTTTCCATAGGTTTTTGGGAGGGTATGGAAATATGTACTTGAAATTTCATTTATCCTCCAGCTCCCTCTAGTAATTTATGACCGGTCCCAAAAAAAGGCAAAACAAAATTTGGTATTGATTTTTTGGAGCAAAAGTTAAGGTTTTTTGCTATCCGCCCACGCTTCTACACCCCTTCTCCCAGGATCTTCTATCTCAAAAAACAACTTTCTGCACAAACTATGCTTTTTTCTCGGGAAATTTTTATTTTTCTTAAAAAACACTTTTTAAACACGGAAACTTTAACTATTTAAATAATTTTCATACCTTTTTGTGATTGCAAAAAGCAAAATCTGATTCATTATCCCACTTTTTAAACTATATGTGACAAAGTTGCTTCGAAATCACTATCACGCAGTAGCATGTTCATTTACCCTCATCCTTTTGACTGAATAAAGTTTATCTTTTTGAAAACCTATTTGTTTTATAGCTCTTCGTTACTGGTTTACGTTTATAGCTCTTGGTTACTGGTTTATGTCGATTTTGGTACCCATGAGACCAACAAGTTTACAAGTTGCAGTAATCCTCGAATGAAAATGAATATTCGAAGAGCATAAAAGCAAACTCCCAGCCATGTAACTTTATCGCCTGAATTTTGAATCATTCCACAACTAAAATGCTGATAATGTAGATGCTTTTCCTACTTGAAATATTAGTTTTTCCTACAATTTAATTTCCTTGATCGCCGTCATGAAAATGGGCTATTCCAATTATTAGCTGCCCCCCCCCCCCCCGTTGAGAAACCTTGGAATTTCCAGCGGAGAAGTGCATTAACCATGGAATTCGAATTTCCAGGGAAAGGTGCACTAACTTTCAAATTTCCAGGGGAGGGGAACATTAACCTTGGAATCTCCAGGGGAGGGGGTGCATTAACCCTGGAATTTCCAGGGAAGGAGGCATCCAGGCTCTGGAATTCCAAGGGGAGGAGTAATTCTCACATGGAATTTCCAGAGGGAGGAGTAAATTTAATGGATAGAAATTCCATGGGAGGACATATATTAGACGGAAATTTCCAGGAGTAAATGTCCCATGATGGAAATTCCATAGGGAGGGGTAATTTAACTGAAATTCCATGAAGGGCCAATGATGGAAATTCCAAGGGAGGTTCCATAGGGAGGGTAATTTTTACAAGGAAATTCCATGGGATGGGGTAAATTTTACATGAAAATTTGCGGAAATTCCAGGGGAGTACCGACGTGAGAAAGGGGTTCCTCGACAGGGGGGGGGGGTGCAGATAATAATTGGAATAGCCCAATGCAAAATCATAAGTTGAAATTTCGAATTCACTCGTCTTGTTTTTTCGAATTTTTGTAAAATATCACGTGCGCCAGCAATTCTCTGCACAGCGGTAGCAAATTTCCCAGCTGATCCGTGCACCACAATCCTTGGATCCGTGCACCACAATCCTTAGACAATATTTTACGCTGTTTAAATAATGTACAATTTGGAGTCTGGAGGGTTACGGTTGGGGTGAGGGACGCCACGGTGGTGGAGGGTTTACATTCTCAAAAACACCTTTGCCAATCCGCCGAGAAATTTCGTGGGGCGAAGGTGGACGTAATTTAGGGTTCCGCCGAATTTAATTTTTGATCAGAAAATGTCCGATATCCGACCAGGCTCGAAAATTGCAGTTCTAAAGGCCGTTTTCCGCTAGGCGGAATTTTGCCCGCGGAGCGGAATTTTTCTTTGTCTTGTGATTTCTCGGGTGGAACTAATTAGAAAAGACAAAGAGAAATTCCGCTCCGCGTGCAAAATTCCCCTTATTGGAAAACGCTCTTAATTTACTAATGCCGGTTTTCATTAGGCGGACTTTTACAGCCGGAGCGGAATTTTTCTTTGTCTTTTTTAATTAGTTCCATCAGAGGAATCACAAGATAAAGAAAAATTCCGCTGCGCGCGCAAAATTCTGCCTAATAGAAAACCGGCTTAACGTGTCCGAACTTTGTTTCAGGCAAAGATATGAGCAAATTACCATGAAGTATAATCGACTGAAGGAGAAATTTGTTGGTTATCTTGAAACACAACAGAAAATGGGTGAGCCTCCTAAAGCAGAGCAAAGTACTGGTGCTGAATTGCAAGCACGAATTTATAAGCAGCAGATTGAACCGGTAATCAAGAGCCAGAATAATGATCCGACATTCACGCAACCAACTGCATTAAGTAGTGAGTCGACACCTTGCCACCCAGCACATGATGATAATCCTGAATTTAAGGAGCAGGATAACCAACCTACGTTGAAGGATGATACCAGTGAACCTTCGTTCAGGCCTCACATGAGCACGATTGCTTTCAAACCGAGCACCGAATCCGCGTTCAGAAAGCCGCCGAATGTTTCAGCCGAGAAACCATCCAGCACTGAAGTTAAACCCGCCGGCCCGATTCCAAGCCATCAGGCAAGCAAGCCCGTCTGTAGCACTGTTGGGCTGCCGCGTCGGGTTGAACCAAAACAGTCTGGTGCAATGCAGGCTGGTCGAAAACAAACCGCTGAAGTCGGCCAAACTGTGGGTGTAATGCAAGAAAGTAACCAAGCCTCTAGGTTGCCCAAGGGGCAATCAAAAACAACATATTCCAAACGAAATAAAGAGAACAATTTATATGATCCCCAAGAGAAGCCTGATGCGTGTAAGTCAAATTAGTTAATTACATGTACAATGAGTTTATATTATTGATGATTTAATGATTTATATTATTAGTATATTATTATTATTATTTATATTATTATTATTATTAGTTTATATTTTTAGTATATTATAGCACTTCAATTTTTCACAAATTATTAAAATTATTTTATTTGTATTTAATTGTCACGCATAAGAAACAAAAAAAATTGTAAATATATATGCATGTTTTAAATCGAAAAGCTAAAGCCTGGTTCACATATATGCCTGCGACGTACCGGCGGCGATGCCGGTGGTAGCTTAAAACGTAAATTATATGAATATTTGTTCGCCGATTGCCTCCAGTGCCACAGTTACATCGGCGGTAGGCCGGGAAAGTTGAGTTGAGTTCAACTTTGCCGGTATTTCGGCGGCAAGTAGAGGCATAATGATATAGTCGCAGGCATATGTGAATCAGGCTTAAGACTAAAGCCAAAGAGAAACTTAAGCCGATTTTCCACTTCAAGCGTACCGAAAAGTATCAAAAACGTTTTTAAATTTCAAAATTTCATGACTGTTGATTGGTAGTACTTCGTAGTACGCCAAAAAGTTGACTTGCGACGAGC